ACATCTGATGGCTGTGAGGGATTCATGAGATTAGAACGCTTGTCAAGTACCTGAAATGATGCTCATTTTGGCTGGGTGCGGTGGCTTGCGCCTGTAATCCCAGCACTTCGGGAGGCTGAGGTAGGCAGATCACCTGAGGTCAGGAGTTTGAGACCAGCCTGACCAACATGGTGACACCCCATCTCTACTAAAAATACAGAATTAGCTGGATGTGGTGGCACGCGCCGGTAATCCCAGCTACTTGGGAGGCTGAGGCAGGAGAATTGCATGAACCCCAGAGGCGGAGGTTGTGGTGAGCTGAGATTGTGCCATTGCACTCTAGCCTGGGTGACAAGCATGAAACGCCGTCTCTAAATAAATATATGCTCTTTTTTCTTTAGTAAATACTTAAACAAAAAATTTTTTTTTTGAGATGGAGTCTCGCTCTGTCATCACCATGCGCCACCACGCCTGGCTGATTTTGTGTTTAGTAGAGACAGGGTTTCACCATGTTGGTCAGGCTGGTCTCGAACTCCTGACCTCAGGTGATCCACCGGCCTCGGCCTCCCAAAGTGCTGGGATTACAGGCGTGAGCCACCGCGCCCGGCCTGCAAATACTTACTGAGCACGGACTCCATATCAGACCCTGTTCTAGGCTTCAGGGACATGGAAGGACTCGAAATAGGCCAAAGTCTGCACCTGGCGGAGCCTGCTGGGGAGGCGGACAGGAAGCAGGAAGTCAGGCAACTTCGGTGGTGACACTCCGGGGAAGGGGGCAGGAGGATGAGTGACAGAGCGGGGGCGTTTGGCTGCTCTCGTCTGAGGTCTGGGGGAGGAGACACAGAAGCAAAGACATGTGAGTGGGTGGAAGGGGCTTTCCAGGCAGAGGGCCCAGCCCGTGCAAAGGCCCTGGGGCAGGACCGCCCTGGGGTGCTGGAGGAACAGCAGGGAGGCCTGTGTGGCTGGAGCACGGTGAGGATCGGGAGAGAGGGCGGAGGTGAGGGCAGGGCCTGTGGGCTGCGGGGAGGGCTCTGCTCTGGCTGCAAGCTGATCTGAAGGCTGTGGAGGGTCAGGAAGGCTGAGCACGTGGGGGCAGCTGGCATCGTGTGGGCAGCACTGGAGGCGGGACGGGGCTTGGCACTGATGCCATTGGGATGGGGTTGGCTCCGTTGCAGCAAGGCCAGGGACCCACCCAGCCCAGTGTCGGGGAGGGACCAGCCTGACATCATGGAGCCAAGCAGTGGGACTGGGACCCAGCCCTGTCGCCGCCTCTGCCTGAGGTGCCCAGGACGCCAGGGAGCCCCGGGGGTTGCCGTGTAGCTCTGACTCCTGCCCGCGCCCCTGTCAGGCTGTTCGAGATGAACGTGGGCCCCCCGAAGAAACTGGAGGAGCTGGACCCCGAGAGCCGGGAGTACTGGCGGCTGCTGCGCAAACACAACATCTGGCGCCACAACCGGCTGAGCAAGAACAAGAAATTCTAGCGCGGCGTGCCCGGACCCCCAACCCCGGCCCCGACCCCGGACGCCCGACCCCAGACCCCAGACCCTGGACCCCCGACCCC